AAAGTAGAAGAAATACTGGTTCTAAGTGGTTGTTCTAGGTTATAGTCTCACCAGTGATGGATGAGAGTTCCTGTTGCTTTCCATCCTCGATGACTTTGGTTTGTCATATCTTAATTTTTGCCAATCTGTGGGCAAAATCTTGGAGGTTTTAATTAGAATTTCTCTGATTTCTAATGAAGCTAAACATCTTTTCATATGTTTATTGCTAATTTAGATTTCCTCCTTTGTTCAGAGGCTGTCTGAATCTTCTGCCCATTTATTTTTATTTTTTTATTTTTTATTTTTTGTGGTACGCGGGCCTCTCACCGTTGTGGCCTTTCCTGTTGCGGAGCACAGTCTCTGGACGCACAGGCTCAGCGGACATGGCTCACGGGCCCAGCCGCTCCGCGGCATGTGGGATCTTCCCGGACCGCGGCACGGACCCGCGTCCCCCTGCATCGGCAGGCGGACTCTCAACCACCGCGCCACCAGAGAAGCCCTCTTTTGCCCATTTAAAAAGTTGAGTTAGGTTTTTTTTTTCTTTACCTTTTTGGATACTGAATAGTTCATATATTCTCAGTAAGTAGTCCTTTATTGTTTATATATTTTATAAATATCACCTCCTAGTTTGTGGCTTTTTTTTTCTCTGTTTTTGGTTTCTGTCTTTGAACATAAATTCTTAATTGTAATCCTTATTTATTTATTTATTTATTTATTTATTTATGTTTTATTTTTGGCTGCGCTGTACAGCATGCAAGATCTTAGTTCCCTGACCAGGGATCGAACCCATGCCCCCTGCAGTGGAAGCACAGAGTCTCGACCACTGGACCGCCAGGGAAGTCCCCTTAATCCATATTAAATCCCAAATCATAATCATCTGATTTTCTCCCTTAATCTATAACATGCGGAATTAAATTAATGGCTCTTTCTAATGTCAAATCAACTTTGCATTCCTGGCATAAATCCAATTTAGTTATAGTATATCTTCATGGTTATTGTTTCCTAGTATTTAGCTTAGAATTTTTGCATTTATGTAATTTTCATTTTATATTGTTCTTGCAAGATTTTGGTATAAAAGTTATGCTAGCTTCTGAAACATTTGGCGTTAGACTGAAATTATAGTTCCTTAAATGTTTGGCAGAAGTCACCAGTGAAATCACCAGTGAAGTAATTTGGGTCCTGTTAGTTGTTTTTGTTTTAATCAGATTTGGGAAGTTATTTATGTTTAAGACTATGTCCATTTCATTCTTTTTCAAGTTTATTGGCATAAAGTTGTTCATGGTATCAATCTTATTATCTTTTAAAGGTCTGTGGCATATACAGTACGTCCCACCTTTTCCTTTTTTGCCATTGTTCTTTATGCTATCATTCTTTTTTTTTTTTTTTTTTTTTTGCGGTACGCGGGCCTCTCACTGTTGTGGCCTCTCCTGCTGCGGAGCACAGGCTCCGGACACGCAGGCTCAGCGGCCATGGCTCACGGGCCCAGCCGCTCCGCGGCATGTGGGATCTTCCCGGACTGGGGCACGAACCCGCGTCCCCTGCATCGGCAGGCGGACTCTCAACCACTGCACCACCAGGGAAGCCCTATGCTATCATTCTTTTAATTAATCTCACCAGAGTTGTGTTGATTTTATAAATCTTTTCAAAGAACCAACATTTGGCTTTGTTGATCATCTTTTCTTAACCCAGCTGTCTGTTGATGGACACTTGGGTTGCTTCTATAGCGTGGTTATTGTATACAATGCTGCTGTGAACATTGGGGTGCATGTATCTCTCGAATTAGTGTTTTTTTTAGTGTTTGGAGAAATCTCCATACTGTTTTCTCCAGTGGCTGCACCAATTTACTTTCCCATCAACAATGCACAAGGATTCCCTTTTCTCCACATCCTCACCAACATTTGTTATTTGTGGTCTTTTTGATGATAACCATGATCAGTGTTTCTCTATCTTTTCTGGCTTCTGAAATCCTTCTCCCTTTGCTGTGTTGGGATTCTGTATAACAGAGAAGAGCTCTAACACAAATTCAGCAAGCAAAAGGAGCAGAGAGAAAGACTGCAAATATATGACTATTTCTGTTGTTTCTCCACCATAGTTAAATATAGATAAGCCTGGTGCACAGGCTTCTCATTGTGGCGGCTTCCCTTGTGGAGCACGGGCTCTAGGTGCGAAGGTTTCAGTAATTGTGGCACACAGGCTGCTCAGTAGTTGTGGCTCGCGGGCTCTAGAGCGCAGGCTCAGTAGTTGTGGCTCGCGGGCTCTAGAGCGCAGGCTCAGTAGTTGTGGCACATGGGCTTAGCTGCTCCACGGCATGTGGGATCCTCCCAGACCAGGGCTTGAACTGTGTCCCCTGCATTGGCAGGCGGATTCTTAACCACTGCGCCACCAGGGAAGCCCCGACTCAATTGTTACATTTCCAGGAACTTTAAACATGGTCATTGCATAACTATACAATTAAATAAATTACATTAACAATAAAGATAATAACTACTCAAAACTCATCACCACCCCCATTTTACTATTATCTCTGAGGTTATATATCTATTGTATCTGAATGGTGGAAATACCATACATGCTACTGCACATCTCATGCTTTCTGTGATGTCAGATTGGAGCTGGAAATTGGCCTTGTTTGCACTACTTAAACTACAAAAGTTGGCAAGTGCTGTGAATCAAGGCTTTCCCCACCCTGCAAACCAGTAGTTAAACATTTATCACCATATCACTGTCTAAGAGGCAAATGGATAAATGAATCTGGGCTCAGGAGACAAATCTGGACTGGAGATAGTGTTGGGGGAAGCATCAGAATACAGATGTGGGGCTGCTTCATGGGCTGATGACAAGGCTTCACACTCAGAAGATCCTCATGCTTAGTTTATTGTTCTGTGGCCACCATCTTGAAATTCGTAATTTTTGAACAAGAGGCCACACGTTTTTATTTTGTTCTGGGCTGGTATGGGTATGGATGGTAGGGAGGTTTCGGTGGTCTGGGGGTGGCTTGATTTACTGCCTTTCATCCCTCAAAACAGGTTTTCTGTCCTATTCACCTACTTGGTAGCACATCCCCACAGATATTTGCCCCATCCATTCCCTCAACCTGTGTATTCTTCACAACCAGCTCACAAAATTTCCTTCTTCTATTTTCCCTCTGTATTGTTCTCTCCTCTTTAGTCTTCTTTTGAAAACTGTTAACTTTCAAGGCATTGATGTATTAAGTAACTTTAATAATAACATTTCTGCCCCAGATTGCAATGTCCCATACATTCGTCTCTCAGATTGGTATGACATGGTGGTTAAGGTGGTCCTGGAATCACAGAAAACTGGGTTTGAATTTTCCCACACGACCTGAGGTGAATTTCCTCTGTTTCTCTATGCCTCAGTTTCCTCATTTGAGGAGAGAGTATTTACCTCTGAAGGCTGTGAACATTAAATTAGATAATCTAATTAAATTAGATAATCTAAAGTGCTTAACACAATGCACATGGTAAGTGTTCAATTAATGGTAGTTATTAACTACCATTATGGTAGTTTTTATTAACATTATTTTTATTCATAGATGAAGAATTAGGAACAGCCAGTAATGAAATTTGCACATGACACATAGTAGGGACGTTTTAGGAGGAACAAAGGGAACACTGGGAGAGATGAGCTGGAAGATTTCAACTTTTTAAAGAGAATTTTCCTGCTTCCATAATATGTGTCCCACAGTAGCTTGGACAAAGCACCTATTCACTGAAGTTCTCAAAGCTCCTCTCCCCCATCTTACCGTACACCTATCCAATCTATACAAACAGCATGGATGTGGGCTCTTGGGCACCGAGAGCCACTTAGCTTTCTTGAGGCAACCTTTTTCTCGGCGTAAAGCTACGCATATGGTAGGCACTTCAAAATATTAGATTTTTTTCTATGCCGCTGTATCCCCCAACTTCTAACACAGCGCCTGGCACCCAGTAGGCGTCCATTTATAGAATGACTGCATGATAATGACTCCCAGGCTTCCCCTTCTTCCCCCCAAAACACTCACTTCTCGAGTCTCTGCCGGAGGCTGCGGGCAAAGCCCGAGGGGTTCAGGAGCGCGCCAGACCTAGTTCACTGATTCCGCTCCCTGCGCGTGGCTGCAGTTGCTATGGAAACGGCGAGAAATAACAACTCTGTTCCCCCCGCGCGCCCCGGGTGAGGGAGGCCCGCAGAGGCAACGGCAGCTGGAGGAACAGCCGGAGCTACGCGCAGCCGCCGCCGAGTTCACCGCGGCACCCCTGCCCCACCCCCGCCCCGCCCGGCCGGGCCCGGCCCGAGCCGCCCCTCCCCCAACCGGGCCCCGGGGGTCCCTAGGTACTCCAGCCGCGG